TAGGAGCATAAATATTACATAGCAATACCTTTTTGTTACCCATCTCTGTTTTTACACCCAACATTCTTCCCTCCATATCTCTGAAGGCTAAATTAGATACAATTTTCTCATTTATATACATCACTACCCCTTTCTTTTTCTTAGGCCCTGACGCACAGTACATCTTTCCTAACGCTTTGTATTCCAGATGTGCAACATGCTTGCTACATATATGAGTTTCCTGTAGCGATATTACATCGTATCTACCTTTTCTAAGTCTTTGCCATATTTGTCTTCGCTTCCTTGGAGAGTTCATTCCATTTATGTTATTAGAATATATTTTAACTTCCTCCATCATATTCTTCTTGTGTTGTTATCCTTTGCGTCTTATCCTTTTCATTCATGTCGGGGTTATCATCGTTAGGGGTTGGTGATTTTTCTCTTGCTCTTTTTCTGCTTCTTTCCTGTTCTTCTTGTTCTCCTGTGTCTTCTATCCCTTCTCTTTTTTCTTCCTTAATTAATCTTTCCCAAAACTCTTTTGCCTTCATTTCCGATGTCAGCCAATGTTTCGTTCCTTTCCAGGTTACCATTACTCCCTCTGTTCTTTCCCATTTGAACCTAACATTTCTTTTTTTCAGCTCATTTGTCAGGAAATGATATTTACGTCTTCTTTCTATTACATACTGTGGGAATTCTTTCAGTATTGCTATCCTGCTTCCTTTGTAAAATGTCGGTGATTTCGCATTTTCTCTTATTACTTCTTCTTTTATCATTTTTCTAGCAAAATTTACTATTACATCCTTTGGGGTGTTATATTTTTTTGAGTAACTCGTCTGAATTCTGTAGACTTTATCTATCTCTGTCTCCAGTACCTCTTTTCCCTTATTGAGTATTTGAGATACCATATCTATAATGATCTCTCTTATTTCTTCTTTGTCTTCTTCTATTATATTACGGAACCTCAGTTGAAATTCCTTTTCTTTGACTTCTTGTGTTTCTCGCTGATTTTGCATTGTTTTCACTGTATCCTCTAAATTTTTAATCTTTTTCTTCATTCCTTCCTGTTGGGTCTTGATCAGTTTATTTTCATTTAGTAATTCCTTATTTTCTTGCTTTAATTTTCCCATTTCCTCGTTCATTCCTCTCATCTCTTCCTTAATTGTTGTCTGCATTTCTTCTTTTAGCTTCTTTCCCATTTCTTGCATTTCCTCTTTGATAGTTTTACTTTGCTCCTCCTGACTCACTTGTAGTTTCCAAATTTCTTTCAGTATATCTCTTAAGCTTAATTCTTCTGGAAGCGAGTCCTTTCTAGTTGAACCTGTTCCTTTTTTTTCCCTATCCTTTTCCTTATCTCTTTCTCTATCTTTTTCCATCTTCCCTTTTTGTGTAGACATTCTCTTATATAATAGTACTTATTAAGTTAGTATTAAGTCGTAAGAGTTGCAGCTTATTTATTTGTAAAATTGATTCTATTTTGATGTTATTCCTAACTTTATGTATTATGTTCTGTAGCCTCTATATCTTTAATCTACTATATTCTGTATTCTTTATTTTGTCTGTTCCTTATTTCTATGATGTTTCCTGTTTTTGTTCCTGTTCGTTTATGGCTGCTTTCTTGTCTTTGCTCCTAAGCCTATGGTTTGTCTTCGTTGCTCTTTCTTATAATTTCATACATCAGTCACTATTGTCAATCACTATTACATTGTGTTCTCTTTGCTTTTAGATTCACTTACTTATTAAATTAATTGCTTATTTGATCTACCCTAACTAGTAATTGCTACCTTCTTCTCTAAAACAGTCCATATATATCCTTAAATATCAAATATACAATTCATACATATAACTAGCAAATATATGGCAGTTAGCAAATATATAACAATCAGTTAGCAAATATCGATTATATATAACAGTCAATTAGCAAATATATAACAATATCAATAGCAATAACAATCAATATCGATAGCCCTTCTGAGTCCAGATTTTTGTCTATATTCTACTTCAGTTTCTCTCTTTGTAATCTGTATTATATCCACCAATAGCTCCTCTCGCATTCAGATTTTTAAACAATCAGATCATATCCAATTCATTATCCCTCAGTTCATATCTTTGTAGGCTATATTATACTAATTAATATCTAACAATTCATTCAACTCACTATATCTTTTATATGCACCATATATTTTTAAGCCACGTGGAATGAGGAATACCATCTGTCTCTAAACCGTACTGGTTGGAGTGTTTCCACCAAAATAGCCAGTCAGAACTCTGTATATGTGGCCCAATACAGGAATTCCATGTTAAGCTTTTCCAAACTTTTCTGAGAGCAATATCTTAATTGTATTTGAGAAATCATAATTTTATTAATGATAAGATTTGGGACAGAGATAGAATGTATAGCTATAGGTTTAAACAATCTGTGTTGCATGTAGAAAAACAGTTTGAACATTTGCATGTGGGAGAAACGTTTAGACTCTTGTATTTATTGATTGATTTACTTTATTTATACCCCAGCTTTCCTCCCAAGCGGACTCAAGACGGCTATACCCAAACAGCTTATATGTGGCAAAATCATTTATGTCCATCTAGAATCCATTAAAGGAGGCCAAGTAACAAAAAAGTGCAAAAAGCAAAAGGGAAAATAATCTAGTTCAATAACCTTTTTGAAGGTTTTTTTTCTTGTACATCTGTGACAAGATCATCCCATATCTATTTTTGCCAGTACACAACTGTTGTGTTTGTTTGGCATTTTTTTGCCTGGCAGTTGTTGGAAGATAAGAAATGATTTGTTTGTGTGCATTGTTTGTTGTTCTGGAAAAAAAAACGGAAAATATATTCCAGTTTAGTTTCTTTAGTTGTTGTTTAGTTTCTGTATATGCAATCCAAGATAGCCAAGGAAAGATTGTCAACCCTAAAAGAAGAGAGTTGTTGACAGTTTTCTGTAATTCAGTAATAATAATAATAATAATAATAATAATAATAATAATAATAATAATACACTTTATTTATAACCCGCTACCATCTCCCCAAAGGGGACTCAGTGCGGCTAACATGAGGCCAAGCCCAAAATAATACAACATAATAAACACACAGTAACAAAATGCATCATAACAAAATATAAAATAACAAAATCAACAATATAAAACAGCATATTAAAACCAGAAACGGAGGATGGGCCAAATGTGTGAGGTAAAATGTTAAAAAAGTTAAAACCCTGGGTGAGATAGGGATAAAAGTGCATTTGTAGGAGAGGAGCCCAACAGGGAGGAGCCGTGGGATTTAGCTATTTTAGGGGGCAGGGGGGTGCTTTATTCTGAGGGCAGCTGTAGACTAAGACAACCAGATGGGTTGAATGGTCATTCTCCAAAAGCACAATGGAAGAGCCAGGTTTTTAGGTCTTTCTTAAAACCAGCCAGGGTGGGGGCTTGCCTGATCTCCCTAGGCAGCGAATTCCAAAAGCAGGGGGCCACAGCGGGAAAGGCCCTCTCCTTGTCCCTATTTCAATAGCCTTGTCCCTATTTCAATAACTTTACCAGTCTGTTGTACATATTGCTAAGAATGGCAATTAAGCTGCAGAAAATCCTGCCAATCAAAAGGTTGGCAGTTGAAGCCCCGGCCAGGGTAAGTGCCTGACTGTCAGCCCCAACTTCTGCTCACCTAGAAGATCAAAAACAGAAAAGTTAGTAGATAAATAAGTACTGCTTTAAGCGGGGAGATAATGAAAGGTGCCCGTAAAGACATCAAGAGGACAACAAAAGCTCTTCAGTGTGGAAGATGGAGTGACAGCAACCCCCTCCCCCATGTCCAGAGTCGAGCACAACCTCTAGATGCCGGAAATGGAAAAAGATGAGAAAAGCCTTTACCTGTGTTTGTGTATTGTCTGTCCTGTTAATTGTAAAATGGCATTGAATGTTATATGTGTTCTGTAATCTGCCCCGAGTCCTCTCAGGGAGATAAAGCAGAATATAAATAAAGTATATTATTAGTATTATTAAATAATTGTGCATAGATTTTGTTGAAAATGCCATGTTACCAGTTAAGAATTTAACATTTTTTGTAGCAAATTGTAAACACTTTCATTGAGACATTTGTTTCATCCATTTCTACTCTGAACTTTCTGAGGGTAGCACACATGGGACTTCCTTTAGCTTTTCTCATTATTGTTGCTACTATCGTAATCATCATCATGCAATCTTCTTAACATAGCATCATCAGTCCTTTTCCAGGCACTTTTTGTAGTTTCATACAGAAAAATGAACTCCAAAAGCTGATGGGATGCAATACCAGAAATGGAAGGGAAATCAGAGGCAACAGGATAATATGAACAAAGCAGTCAACATACTTGCTTTTTATTCAATTCCTTATTAAAATTATTGGGTTACGTCTTCATGACTGAAGTCCTTATCATACTACTCCTTTATACCACATTGTTGTTGTGATTATTATTATGATTATTATGAATATTATGATTATTATTATTATTATTATTATCTGTCACTCCGAAAGACTGAACAGGGCATAGGGTTACAGCCTGTGTTGGATGGGGTTACACTCCCCCTGAAGACGCAGGTTCGCAGCTTGGGAGTGATCCTGGACTCATCACTGACCCTGGAATCCCAGGTTTCGGCGGTGGCCAGGGGAGCTTTTGCACAGTTAAAACTCGTGCACCAGCTGCGTCTGTACCTTGGGAAGCCTGATCTGGCCATGGTGGTCCACGCTCTGGTTACATCCCAAATAGATTACATGGGGTTGCCTTTGAAGACAGTTTGGAAACTTTTAGTTCAACAGGCGGCTGCCAGATTACTAACTGGGGCGGCATGCAGGGAGCATACCACTCCCCGTTATGCCAGCTCCACTGGCTGCCGGTCCATCTCCGAGCCCAATTCAAAGTGCTGGTTTTGACCTATAAAGCTCTATACGGTTCGGGCCCAGCTTACTTGTCCGAACGCATCTGCCCCTACGTCCCACCTCACAATTTAAGATCATCTGGGGAGGCCCTGCTCTCGCTCCCGTCAACAGCGCAAATGCCGCTGGCGGGTACGAGGAGCAGGGCCTTCTTGGCTGTGCCCCCATCCCCCCCACCTATGGAACACACTCCCAAAGGAGGTAAGATCTGCTCCCTTGCTTCTGACTTTTAGAAAAAAATTAAAATCATGGTTCTGGGATCAGGCCTTCGGACAATAGAAGTATGCAGCTTTTAGTGGGACAAGGACTGGAACGGTGATTCGACAGATGAGATTGTTTTATGGTTTTAATAACTGTTTTGATATTTGGTGATGTACTGTTTTTAATATGATTTATGTTTAAAATGTGGTTTTATTATTGTAGTTGCAAGGCATTGAATTTTTGCCATTATCTATGTGTAAACCGCTTTGAGTCCCCCTAGGGCTGAGAAAAGCGATACATAAATGCTGTAATAAATAAATAAATAAATATTATTAATGTCCCACTTTATCTCTCTCTAAAAAAAGACTCAGAGCAGCTCAATAAAACCAATACAATATAGTTTAAAACTTTAAAATATACAAGCATTAAAATAGAATTAAACATTAACAGTATTGAAAATAAATAGTTAAAACCAATTACAAACCTATTCATATAGCTAAAACCATAGCACCCTAGGCTTGATTCCAGAGGGGGAGTTTGTGTTTTTTTGCTACTGTAGACAAAACCCTAACCTTGATTTTTGAAATCTTGTTTTGAGAAACAGTGCCACCCTGCCTGATGATGCATTTGTGACATCCTCATTCTGTAATAAAGTAGTCATTTCTGAAAGTGCGGTCTTTTACATTTGTACAAAATGGAGATAAACCGTTAACTTCTCTTGCAAACAGCACACATTTGCATTGTGCCCTACCAATCCCTTTTTATGCTTTCGGGCTATAATATCTAATATCGGAGACAGTGATGATGTAAAATAACAAGATTAGGTGATGTTCCTAGCGAATTGAAGGTTAATCGGTGTTCTGTGGCATTATGGCTTACACATGGATCAAAACATGACTTCATAAGTAGCGCTTATCTTCATAACCAGTCCATTACTTTAAAATCTATTAAGAACATACTGTATCCTCAAGTGATCTTTAGAGCCAACAAGGGTCAAAGAATATGAATCAGCTTAGTTTCCTATTCACATTATTTCATTCTATTGCTAAAAGAATAGTTAGAAAATGTTAATTTGGAGGGTCTTTATTCCCCCCCCAGTATTATAAGGTCGGTTGATGGCTATACCCATGTTAATTTGTTTTGAAAGCTTTGTATTTTAATATTCTAATGGCTCCCAATAAATTTCTGAAACTTCCTCACATTATCATGTTTTAATATGGTATTTTATCTTCCTTTTTTTGTTTTTAATTAGGTTGGATTTCTGGAATGAGATCTTTGAAGCCTTTTACATATCCAGTGTCAGAGACAAGATTTCTTCATGCTGGAATGAATGTGTATAAATTTAAGATCAGATATGGCAACACTGTTAGGTAAGCAGGACAATTAATGTAATTTGAAAGTTTTCACCCTTGGGAATTATTCAGAAGAGGAAGAAGAAAATAAAACATAGATGAATAAGAGACATATCTAAAAAAAACTTGGGTACAGTTCTGAAAATTAGAGTGTGTCCACAGAGATTACAAATATTTAAGAGTATGATAATGGTGAGAGTAACTAAAAGAATCAGCTCTGAAACGGATAACCCTATTTCAAATTGTGCCTCCAGCCTCACCCACCTGACATGTGAAAATGATATTATTAGCCATTGCGGAAAATATAGGATTGTAGCAAAAATTATTAAAATAATATATTTTAATAACTATTAAATGAATTGTGGTTTATATAATTTTATGCTTATATTTTTATGTTAGATGTAAATTAATTGACAAGTTATGTTATTATTTAATTTCTGATTGTATAATATAGTTTTGTCTTAGATGTTGGTTTATTTTGGAATCTGGTTGGTTCACTATTTGTACTTGTATTTATGAATGTACTATGGCAAGATGAAGTACCTTGGCCACATCATGAGAAGAAAGGAAAGCTTAGAGAAGACAATGATGCTGGGGAAAATGGAAGGAAAAAGGAAGAGGGGCCGACCAAGGGCAAGATGGATGGATGGTATCCTTGAAGTGACTGGATTGACCTTGAAGGAGCTGAGGGTGGTGACGACCGACAGGGAGCTCTGGTGTGGACTGGTCCATGAAGTCACAAAGAGTCGGAAACGACTGAACGATTGAACAACAACAACAACATGGCAGGGGTCTTCAAACTTTTAAAACAGATGGCCAGGTCACAGTCCCTCACTGTTGGAGGGCCGGATTATAATTTGAAAAAGAAAACATTAATGAATTCCTATGCACACTGCACATATCTTATTTGTCGTGCAAAAAAAAAACACTTAAAAACAATATAATAATTAAAAAAAAGAACGGTTTTAACAATAGGAAGTGTGGGCCTGCTTTTGGCTGATGAGATGGGATTGTTGTTGTTGTTGTTGTTGTTGTGTGCTTTCAAGTTGTTTCAGACTTAGGTTGACCCTGAACGAGGGCTGGGTAAATGACCTTGGAGGGCCGTATCCAGCCCTTGGCCCTTAGTTTGGGGACCCCTGTACTATGGCATTGAATGTTTGCCATTTTTGTTGGAATCCACCCTGAGTCCCCTGAGCATTGTATTTTGTACAGAAAACAGTTTTCTGTGCAAGAAATATCACATGCGTTTCCACACAGATGATCTACTTCACCAGCAGAGAGAATACTGAAGAAATTCTTCATTCTTCAGTGCAATGTTAATAGGGATTCACACCCCCTAATTTGAAATACACAGAGTACCGTTTCTACTCTATTCCTCTTCCTCCTTAATGATTTAATTCAGGTGATTTCTTTTAGTTCAATTCTGGCTGTTTTTTTGGGTTTTTTAACAAAGTTTTCTTTAAACTAACGAAGAGCATTAACACAAATAAATCTAGTTATCAGATAATTGACCAATGTTTGGTTTAAAAGTGTGATAATGAGATTGGTGGGGTAAGCAGTATATAAGAAGGGTTTAGTGTTACCGTATATTCCGGCATATAAAACAACTGGGCATATAAGACGACCCCCAACTTTTCCAGTTAAAACATAGAGTTTGGGATATATTCGCCATATAAGACTACCCCTCTTACAACGCGCACCAAATAAAATTTTTAAAAGCATCAGATTTAATTTCAATATGGTAATTTTCCTATTACTGTATCTCCTTCTCTGCCTCTCAGATCTCGCACATGCGCACCTGCACCACTTCACTGCAGTCTTCAGGAGTGAGATCTGAGAGGCAGAGGAGGAGGTACGGTAATAGGATACAAGGGGGCCAGACAGGTAAAAGAGTTGTGTTTTTCTGGGCCCAGAGCCACTCTATCTCTTTTTTCCATACCCCAGGCGCCCTGGACGCCTGCAGCTTGCTCCGCCCTTCACTTACACCTTCCCGGTGAGGCGCCCCTTCACCTCACCATCGGAACTGCATTAAGTCCACGAATCCTGATGAATGGATTTTCTTCTACCGTATTTGTACAGCGTCACCCTTAATACTTTCATACAGTCGCTGCATATGGCAGGGATGCAGCCACTGCCATTTTTTTAGCTCCCCCCACAATATGCAGCAACCACAGATTCTCCAATCCGATTGGAAGTTTCAGCACCCGCTCTATAAGACGACTCCCGTGTATAAGACGACTCCCGTGTATAAGACTACCCCCGTGTATAAGACGACCCCTGACTTTTGAGAAGATTTTCTTGGGTTATAAATAGTCTTATACACCAGAATATACGGTACTTTCTCAAAGAAAGTGCAACAAACTGGATGGATTTGGGGCCTGAATTAATATTAATGTTCTTAAATCAGGAAACAGAAAATACAGTATTCTGGATATTTTAAACTTTTTTTTCAGGCTTAGTTTATGATGCTTGATTGCTCTTAATTAATGCAGTTAATATCTATTGTATTGATTTTACAGCATTAATGACAACCTTCCTGAAAGTGTTGTCAACGAAGAACTGCAGGTGAGATATGAAACATATTTTTCTGTTATGTCAGGAATGATCATGTGACAAAGGTTGAATATAGATTTAGTTCTCTTTGTTTTGGAAAAATATGTTGTCTGCCTTCAAATTATTTAGATTTATGGCTTGAGAATAACCTTGCTTTAAAGGTTTTGACTATGTGAAGTCAAATTGTATTGTGTTCATTGTAAGAAAACTGAAATCATTATTTGAAATCTTCCAGAATGCTATTCAAGTAATACTGGGAAATCTTGATAATTTGTGCCCATTTACCACTGAACACTTCACCATATTTCCATGTATCCTTTTATTGTTATTGAATGAGCGAATGTAAAAGAAGGAAAGTTAGGAAATTAGTACTTGTTTTTTCTTATTTGATTATAGAAAATACTTGGTCTTCTTTACTATATGCTTTCTATGCTCCATATGAGTTTAATGTTTATATACATTTCTATAGTGCCTCCAATTGTAGCCCTCACTTTTTCCTTGCTTTGCAAATGTGTCTGTACTACTGTTTTATCTACACAGTAGGCAGATTATATCAAGAAGATAACCTATACAATATTTTTCAATTCTGTTTACTACTGAATTCTTGAACCTTAATTGAATTTATCAGATTTAAACCAATGGGAAAGAATGTCAGACTTGAGATTCAGGCATGGCAATGTATTTCTTATTCCTTATCCATGTGTCTGCACTATGTATGTTGAATTAAATTCATGGAAACAAAATGCATTTGGAGGTAAGTTCAGGAATTCAAAAAGGAATGTGGAGATCAACCGGTTAATATTTGAATGTAATTGTCACCAAAGTTCCCAGATGTCAGGGCCCAGCTTTGAGCCAGAGGACCAATCTCCTTTTCTTCTTTCTGTCTTGAAGATAATTATTTTTATTGGTTGATGTTAACTGCTTCAGTATGGCATTTCTAGGTGACTCACTGAAAATGAAACTGATCCCTTTCTTTACCTCTTGGATCTTCTTTCTACTTCCATTCACACTTCTTTATGCTGACCTGATCATTGTTCAGGATTCAAGGCTAATTGCAAAAGCTAAAACAAATGCTCTAAAAATTCACAAGAGATAAAAGGTAAAAGTGTAATTATCAATATAATTAAAAGCAGTGAAAAACATTTCCTGTTAAAACATGATAGATAGCATTATGCAAGAACTTTTCTCTCTGAGCAATCTGTCTTCAAAGGCCAACTACGACAATAATAATAAGAATAATAAGAATAAGAATATACTTTATTTATATTCTACCCTATCGCCCCAAGGGGACTCAGGGTGGATTACAGTATACATATACGGGAAACATTAGATGCTGTTATACAATAAACAAAGACAGATAGTACTTAAAGAGAGGTAAAGGCTTCCCATCTTTTTCCATCTCCGGCATCTGGAGGCTGTGCTCAACTCCGGCCATGGGGGGACGGGGGTTGATGTCTCTCCATCTTCCATGCCGAGGAGCTTTGTTGTCCTTAGATGCTCTCCCGATCAAATTGCCGGCATGTCCGCATGGGCGTCTTTTATTACCTTCCCACCAAAGTGGTACCTATATATCTGCTCACATTGCTGTTTCTGCTAGGTGAGTAGAAGCTGGGCTGATGGTTGGGAGCTCACCTCAATCTGCACTTGAACTGTTGACCTTTCAATCAGCAGCTAGTGGTTTAACCCGCTGTGCTAAAGCCCAACCCATCTGTCTATGAAAGGATAGCAAGGAGAGTGCTAGTCTTATTCTTTAAAAAGGGATTTCCAGAGCTTGGGAACAGCTACTGTTCCTAGCAGATTGGAAACAAGGGTCTTATTGTTACTAACTGTTGTTTAAATCAAGTGTCTTGTATATTTCAGGTAGAGCAGAATATAGCAATGCATATAATTGTGTGAGTATTTTCTTTGAATTTTCCAACAATAAGGTGGGACAAAGAAGAAGGAAAAGAACTGTGGATTGAGTTAATATTTAGTACAGATAGAGAAGGAAGTCCTCATATACGTTTCTATTACCACTGTTTGTTGACATAAACTGCATTATCAATTGTCACAATCCTATTTTCTTTCTAGTCACTTAACCCACAGTAGCTGCAGTGGGAATTATCATATTTCTCATTCCTAAAACCAAATAATTTAGAAACAGGGGTACTTTTCAGTAGTAAAAGGAGTAACATACTGTATAGAAGAGTTATTAATAGATTTTTGAAATGATGCATTTGTAACTGCTTTAAAAAGCAGTTCTTTTTTGTAGTTTTCCTGGAAAATAAATTTCAATCTAAAAGGCAATGCAGCTTATCAGTTAAATGTTTATATTACGTGCTAGGACCTTGTCACCATTTATAAAATGTATACATTAAAAAGTAAATGAATGAACTTGTCAGTTCAGTGTTTCCTTAAAGGTCAACATGTCCGGACAGAGAGAGCATATGAACAAAGAAATTGCTATTAATCGGAGGAAACTGGACAATGTAGTTGGAGTTTCACATATGCAACTCTTTGCAAAGAGGTCAATGCTTATTTTCTTCTCTCCCGTATCTATCCTTATCTTTAAAGTTTTCTGTGATCCTAGTTATATATTCAGTGTTCTGTTAAGCAAGTTGTCAAATAATCCATGTGTGTTTCCTTATGATTTAGAAACACAGGTATGCACAGAAATATTGATTTCTTTATTCCGATTTGAAGCACGTTGATTTTCACCATATTTTTAAATAGGGTAAAGTGATGTCCCCCGTAGGTTGTTAATGTGTATAAGTGAAGGGGGAGAGGTGTCCACAACAGGAAAGTAAAGTTTTTTTCTCCTTTCTCTACTTACAACAATACCCTCACTCCACAATCTTAGTTCTTATCTTGCACATGCGGCCCACTCATTGTTATGTTATTTTATTTTACTGTGTATGTTTTTGCTTTATCGTCTTTGTAATATGTTGTATGTATTTTACTGTGCTGTTATTGTGTTTTGGTTTTACTTTATTGTAATATGCTGTTAGGCTTGGCCTCATGTAAGCTGCCCCGAGTCCCCATTGGGGAGATGGTGGCGGGGTATTAAATAAAGATTATTATTATTATTATTATTATTATTATTATTATTATTATTATTTCACATAACAAGACTTCTTTGCTTTAAAAAAAGTTTGCCATGACCCCAATAGGAAGTTTTGGTTTTTTGGTGGGTTTTTTGTGTGTGTGTTTATTGTATCAGGAGCGACTTGAGAAACTGCAAGTTGCTTCTGGTGTGACAGAATTGGCCGTCTGCAAGGACGTTGCCCAGGGGTTTTGATCATCCTTGTGGGAGGCTTCTCTTATGTCCCCGCATGAGGAGCTGGAGCTGATAGAGGGAGCTCATCCACTTCTCCCCAGATTTGAACCTGCGACCTGTCGGTCTTCAGTCCTGTCGGCACAGGGGTTTAACCCACTGCACCTCCGGGGGCTCCGAATAGGAGGTTAGTTACCCTTCCCCCAATGATTGCTTTGGGGTGAAGTCAAGAAGAGACACACCAAGAGGGATAGAAGAGAGTAAGAAATTGCGAGGGCAGGTTAGGTGAGTGGCAGGCATGTAGCTGAGGGGGGGGGGGCTTTGATGTCCCCCCAGGCGGCAGAATCTCCCGCCTTCAAGCTGGTCTGAACCGCAGCAGGGAGTTCCGCAGTTCCGAAGAGCCAAGTTGGGTCTGACTGACGGAATGTGCCCCAGCGAGCAGCTCAATGCTAATCTCAAGGCTGCAAGAAACTTTTCTTTCACTTTCCCCTCTCCCTCTCTTTGTAACAAAGCCCCTAATAAAACACTTAAGATTTGAAACTTTAAATCCTTTCCGCTTGATACTTTGTGTCCTTTACTGACTGAAACTTTTCTAACATAAAATAAACCCTTTTCTGAGCTCCGGGGAACCGTGAGCTCACCGGGGATGCCTTCCCGGCCTCCCCGGGCCCCCAAATCTGCGTTAGTTAAAACCGTGGATACGGAGGTTTTCCTAATGGGCCCCCTTATCCGCCAAAACAACAACATGGCGGATCGGCCCCGTTCAAATTTCATATTTTTCTACATCAAATCCTAAGACTAACTGCCGTCTTGGTTTTTTCATTTTGGACTCCTACACCCGGGAAATAATTGTTTTTGTTTAAATATTAAATCTGGCCGAGTCAACAGCTGATTGTCAAATTTTCGCCAGCTTTTCCGGATCGCTTCATTCCGCTCGCTGCCGCTTGCTCCTGCATGGTCCCCGCCGCCGGGGACCCACCGCCGCTGCCCAAGGGGGAGCCTTGGGAGAGGAGGGTCGGGCAGGGAGGCCCGGTCCTCGGTTGGGAGCGCTAGTTTTACCAAGGACAGAGCAGTGGAACCCAGCTCCCCCTCCAGCTCCAGCTCCTGCTTCAAGGAAGGACCGATCTTCTGTTGACCAGCCTGAAACCATGGGCTGGCCTCTACCTCCAAGCCTCCCCGCCCGGACTTTGGGATTTCTAGTTTTCCTTTTTTCCTTTTTTATGAAATAAAATAAAATATTTTCTTACTGTAATGGACTGGGGTGGGATGGATTGTGGGTTGGGATATTATGAGATGCCTGTGTATTAGTGATGCCTGTGTTTTATGATTATGATATGTATGTAACCCTTATGAATTCCTCTATGCCATCACCCCCTTGACCTCTGCCCCACAAAAGCGGCGTGACCAGGAACTGCCCAAAGGGAAGAGCTCAAGCCTCTCCCTTAATCACCCTTGATTGATTCATCAGCATGGACAATGCTACTGATCCCCAACCCTAGCCCTCGGAGCAAGGCCAGCGAAGGGAAGGGGGTCAGCAGAGACTAGGAAAAGAAAAGATTGATTTAATCAAAAAGATATCGTTGACCCCCCGGGTGGTCCGATACCAAACCAGCCTTTCATACTGCTTCCCAGTCCCATCAAGGACAGGAAAGCCTCTTTGTTTAAAGGGATCACCCTTTTCCCGCCTAAGACAAAGCCCGCATTCCAGCGGGCAGGAAATCCCAATCCCATCATCTTTCCCCTTTGTCTGCGGCCGTTCCGCCTCCTCACTCCTGATTGGTCCAAACTCAGAAGCGAGCAGAGGGCGCCCATTGGCCCTCCCGAGGCGCAGGAACGCTCTGATTGGCTGGAAGCAGAGGCGGGCCGCCAAGCCTCCTCCCAGCTGTTCCAGCCCCAGCCAATCAGCGTCAAGCCGGCCGGCAAGGGGCGGCGGGAGTTTCAAACTGCTTTCTTTTGTCCTGTACTGTATAAAATGCCTGAAAACTTTGTATCTGTATGCTTGTAGAGGAACTATCCCTACAATTGCATCCGACTCAGCTGAATCGCAAATAAACCTCGATCGCTGGACTTCTTCCGCCTCTGGTGAGCTGATTATATATTAAAAATATTCCTGCGCTCTTGGATTGGCTTCCGGAAAATCTCACCAAGGTATCCAGGACTCCCTTTGGTGTAGTCCTAGGGCTCTTCCCCCCGGGAGAGACCCCCTAAAAGAGCTCGATATCAGCTTGAGGGGCTTCAGCCCCCCCCCGAAATTCTCATGGTGGTCCGCGAGAAGGCCTTACTGGTACATTATTTAAACTGTTATGTTTATTCATATCATGATCTGATCACCATGCTCAATATATCCCATATGCATGGGGTATTGGGGTAATGATACAAAAGGTTTGCTAGGGTAGACCCTCTTTCACTCAGACTCAGTCCCCCCCCCCCCCCCGAATCAAAATCCTGGCTACGGGCCTGGTGAGTTGTTGAATGAATGGTGGTGTGCTCATGTATGGGAT